GATCCTGCAGATCTTGCAGGGGGGTGGCGGCGCGTTCTCCTCGACGCAGGCTTGCCTCCCCCCCGCCGCGGGCCGCTCCTCGAAGATCGGGCCGGACGAAAGGGGGCGAGTGGGAAAGGGGGGGTCCCGAAATTTGCTGCATGCAGCTGGGTTCGGCCTCGCCGAGGGGCCCGTTCCTCGATACATAGCCGCCTCCGGCGCCGGGAGGCGCCGGGGAAATCAGTTCCGTGAGCTGATTCTCAAACCCCTCCTTTGCTATCCCATTTTTTTTCGCCCGACCGAGAAGAATGCGGAGCTCTTGGATCGGCGCTTGGACCCCCCTGGCGTCGCCTCCACAGCCGCCCCTTGCGCGCTCCGCGCGCCAGGAAGCGGCGTCCAGCGCCGGTCCAAGATATCCGCTCGGGCCTCCGACAATTTATTTGTATGGTTTGTTGGTCTCCTGCTAGTGGCGCATGTCCCCCTACAGGCGCATTTTTGGCGAACAATGGAACATACCCCTAAACATGCCCAAACATACTCAACAAATCGTCCCCTGACTATGTTTTGACTATGTTTCAATCTTCCTCCTGTAGAGGGACAGGCCCGACTTACTGCTAGTGGGGGCTAGCGGTGCGCTCCACACGGTGCAGACCTGCCTGTCCCCCCCCCCCCTTGCCCCCCCTCCCGCCAGGCATTCCACACCGCCACCGGTCCAGGGAGACGGAAGGAGGGGAGGTGGAGATGGAGAGGCGAGGAGGGACGTGGCGAGGAGGGGTGGGGGGGCGGGGAAGGAGGAGGGAAGGGGGAGGAGGACGAGCACGAGATGTTGGGAGGAGGTGAGGGGGAGGAGAAGGAGGAGGAGGACGAGGAGGAGGAGGAGGAGGAGGAGGACGAGGAGGACGAGGTCGAGATCTTGGGAGGAGGAGGAGGAGGACGATCAACCGCTTTCTTGTAACTAGAGTCTGCCTTCAATTGTTTCCGCCTGCCCCTCGCACTTCTGGATCACAATCCCCCCCTTTTGCCGTTATCCTCCGAAAACTTGCTCTCTCACTCTCCCTCTCTCTCTCTCTCTCTGTCTCGCTTTCTCTCGCTCTACCTCTTGTTCTCTATCGCTCTCTCTCTCTCTCTCTGTCGCTCTCCTCTCTAGTTCGTTCTCTCTCTCTCTCTCTATCTCTATCTCTCGCTCTCTCGTTCGCTTTCTCGCTCACTCACGTCCCCCACCTGTCGACATGTAGCTTGTTTTTTGTTGTTTGTTCTCTTTCTCTCTCTCTCTCTTTCTCTCCCCCCCTCTATAGAAGTGGCACGCGTCGGTGCGTGCCCAGGCTCATGCAGCACATCTTGCAGGCATGGGCGCCCGTTGTGCGTACGCACGACAGGCGAGACCAGGGCCAGGGCCCCTCCGGGGCCGGAGCCTCGACACTGGCGACTGGTGCGTCGCCCCACCCCGGGGCCTCCATGTGCAGCCTCCAGACGGCCCAGGAGGGCTCCCAGAGAGCTCCCAGGCAGCTCAGGAGAGCCCCAAGACGGTCCAAGGGGGCCCCGAGTCGCCGAACGATCGCTCCGAGGCGCCCAGGATGGCCCCATGACGGCACAAGAGAGGCCTCCGAGGCGCCCCAAGCTGCCGAGAAGAGCAGTCCCAAGAGGGGCCCAGGAAGTTGAAAGCATTGATTTTCCAAAGGCTTTTGAAGGGGTTTGGCGCTATCGCCTCTTAGGCTCTGCGACGCTCAAAGACAGCCCAAGAGGCCCCCAAGATCGGTCCAAGTCGGTCCAAGAGGCATCCAAGCGAGCTCCTAGACGGCCCCACCTCAGCCATTTTGGCTCAAGATCAAGCGAACGCTCAATCCTATAATCCTGCTACTCTGGTGCTGTAGAAACATGTCGGGCCAAATGGAGAAGCCGAAGAAGCCTACAGTCTTTGGGAAGGTGGCGGGCAAGGTGGATGATTTCTTCCAGGCGAGGTTCTATGCTATGGGCTTGTTTGTGGGAACCCGGCCTTGCACGTCCATCATGGTCACGCTAGGCGTCTGCTTCTTGATGATGAGCGGCTTCTCACAGCTGGAGTCAGAGTCGCGTGGCGACAAGCTGTGGATCCCCCAAGACACGCAGGCGCAGGCAGACCAGAAGGTCTACGCGTCTCATTTCCCCCCTACCATGCGGATCAACCAGGTGGTGCTCGAGGCCAAGAGCGGCAACGTCCTGGACAAGGCCTTCTTGCTGGGCGCGCTGGCGCTGCACGACGAGATCACGGCTGTCGCGGCGCCGGGTGGCAACTTCACTTCCTTGTGTGTTCAGATGCCGACCGATGGCCAGCCCTGCTTCATCAGGTCGGTGCTCGGCGCCTGGGACTACGACGCGAGCGCCCTGAGCGCGGACGCCGACCCGCTCGCCACGCTGAACTCGGAGGGCCAGTCGCAGGACGACCTGCAGAGCCTGCTGGGCGGGCTGACGTTCTCGGGCACGGACGTGCAGAGCGCACAGGCCATGATGATGACCTACTTCATGGAGAACAGTCGCGAGGAGGGCGAGGGCTCGTCCGCTTACACCGATCCAGTCGCCGAGGAATGGGAGTCGGAGCTGCTGACCCTTCTCGGCTGTGACGCCCCGATCTGCGACGACGACGACAACTGTGCCTGCAGCTACGACTCGGCCCACTTCAGGGTCTTCGCTCGGGCCGAGCGCTCCTTGGGCGACGCCTTCGGAGACGTCATCCGCGGCGACGTTGGGCTTATCAACGGCGCTTTCATGATCATGATCGTCTACCTTGTCCTGAACCTGGGTGGCCTCTGCCACAAGATCGAGTCGCGTGCGCTCCTGGCCGTCGGCTGCACGCTCTCTATTGTCCTGGCGGGAGCCGCGGGCTATGGTCTTGCCGCGTGGCTGCAGTTCCCTTACACGCCGGCGCACGGCATCCTGCCCTTCGTGATCCTGGGCATCGGGGTTGACGACTCCTTCGTGATCATGAACGCGTTCGACCGCACGAGCCCTGCGCTCCCAGTGCCCGAGCGCATCGCCAAGGCGATCTCCCACGCTGGGGTCTCGATCATGGTGACGTCCCTGACGGACTTTGTGGCCTTCGCCATCTCCGTCTCCTCCGCCCTGCCCGCCCTGTCCTCCTTCTGCATGTACGCCGCGCTTGCCGTGCTCATGCTGTTCCTGCTGCAGATTTTCTTCTTCGCGGCCCTGGCCACGTTCGACGCCCGCCGCGCGGCAGCTGGGAGGATCGATTGCTGCCCGTGCATCGGCACCAGGGGCTGCCCCTGCTGCCCAACGACGCCCGCGGAGCTTGCCGCGGCGGCCATCGAAAAGGGCGGGAAGGACCCCAACCAGATGCTTTGCTCGCCGCCGCAGCACAAGGGCGGCCGCATCGGCGAGTTCCTGCAGCGTTCTTCCGCGCCCGTGCTGGCGAGCCCGGCGGCCATCGCCGTCCTGATCGTTTGCTTCTCCGGCCTCTGCGGGGTCTGCGCGTGGCAGGCCTCGGAGCTCGCTGTGCAGGACACGCAGCGCAACTTCATCCCCGACGACTCGTACGCCGCCAGCTTCCTCAACAAGGCCGATGTCTACTTCAGCGCCAACGGCCAGTCGGTGGACATCGTCACGCTGGGCGGGGATTACTACGCGGCCCAGTCGGGGCTCACCAGCATCTCCAGCAAGCTCAGCGCCCTAGACTTCGTCAAGCCCGCCACGGAGGCGTCGTTCCGCTCCTGGGCGGATGCGTTCAGGGCCGCCTGCCTGGCCGGTTCGGCCGCCCAGGCTGTCGACAGCGACGGCCTGGTGACCAGCGAGGCCGAGTACTACAGCTCCCTGGCCGCGTGGCTCCAGGGCGCGGGGGCCCGCTACAGCGGCGACGTCGTCTGGGTGGACGAGGCCGACCCGGCGCAGGGCATCCAGGCCTCCCGCTTCGCCGCCGAGCTCGAGGCCATGAACCGCGTGGTGGCCGGGCGCCTCGTCGTGGACGCGGACCGCGCCGTCGAGGTGATGGACGAGCTGCGAGAGGCGTGCGAGAGCTGGAGCGACCTCCCGGGGGGGAGCGCCATGCCGTACTCGTACAACTTCCTGAGCTGGGAGACCTTCCGCATCATCAAGAGGGAGCTGTTCCAGAGCGTCGGCCTGTGCCTGGCCGCAGTCTTCCTCATCGCGCTGGTGCTGCTGGCCCATCCGCTCACTGCCCTGCTGGTCTTCCTGGTCGTGGTCATGACCGTGGTGGACATCCTGGGGTGCATGAACCTGTGGGGCCTCGCGATCGACAACGTCTCCGTGATTCAGCTCGTCATCTCGGTCGGCCTCTGCATCGACTACGCCGCACACGTGGGCCACAACTTCATGCTGCACCAGGGCACGCGCTCGCAGCGTGTGGTCGCGGCGCTGGGCGACGTCGGCGCCGCGGTGTTGTGTGGGGGGATCTCGACGTTCCTCGGCGTGCTGCTCATGTCGCTGTCGAAGAGCTACGTCTTCCGCGTGCTCTTCCAGACCTTCTTCCTGACGGTGATCCTCGGCCTCGGGCACGGCCTGATCTTGCTCCCGGCGCTCCTCGCCGCATTCGGCCCCGATCCGTACCAGGGGTCGACCACGCCGGTCGAGGACCTCGCCGCAGCGAAGGCCTCCGACAGGGAGCCGGCCGCAGACAACGCGGAACCACCGACGGCCTCCGACAAGGTGCCGACCGGAGAGCAGGGCGCCCCAGAGGTGCCGGGTGCCTGAGCAGGCCCTCGCCAATGCCAGGAGCCTCGTCGTCAGAGGCGCCCGGCCCGTCGGGGCCCTTAAACACGCGCAGTCCCTCTGTGCGGCAACTGACCCTGGGGTGTGGTTTGCGATCGGCACCGATGGGGCCTGGGGGGCACGACACTGTCCTCGTCGGGCCTCCTCGGGGCGCGGGAGAACTCTATCGAGGTCGCCGCGCGCCCCCCAGGATGCCCCCCAGGATGCTCCCCAGGCTGCCGGTTGCGAACCACACCCTCTGCAAACCACACCCTTTGGTGGAGTCGCCGATCTGTGAACCCCACGCGCAGCCCGCCTTGCTCCGC